AAAAGGGCACCTGTGTGCATGTTTGAATCACAGCCAAAAATGGTGTTTATGGAAAACTTCAGATGAAGCAAAGAGGCATTCAGCCAACAAAATCTACAGCTGTGAGACTTGGAACTTACAAGTGCCCAAACTCCAAAAGCAAAAGTGGAATTATGGGACAGACTTTGAAGCTTGTTTATGTGCAAATTTTTCTAGCAAGTAACTTTGTATTTCTCTATTCAGACATATATTCTATGATTAACACTTCTAAGACCAGAGAAAACAGTTAAAGGGAATCCCATCCAGGGACTGATTATTTTTTCCCCACAATTACTTGTAAACAAAACTCAACTGTGGCTAAAATGGAGTAATCTAAATTCTATCTCCAGAGATTTGCAACTTTTCTCCCATCCTAACTCCTAAGGTGTTGACACTCTCGCTCGTTGACATGGGTCCCGAAAACACAACAGTTCCTGACTGGAAGGGAGAGACTACAGCATATCAGAGTATCTTTGAAAAAGTACCTTTTGTGTTTGAATATGCCCCATATCCCTATAATCCTCATGCTCATTTGTCTGGGTACATACTCAAGACTGCCTGAAGTCTCTGGGGAAGACGATAAGTAGGTAGGCTTGAATGCAGAAGTGGAGACTAAGCAGCTTCTAAAGAAATCTAAGGACACTACATAAGAACAAACACTGGAGATGAGGGCTAAAACTTTAAAGTTGAGAGATTATCTGTGTACATAGGCAAGACACTACAAAAAAAGCTAACGGTTTTGTTGTTTTCAAATAAAATGTAGCAAAATTATGGACTGTATACCGAATTATTTCAGCCAGGAAAAAAAAATCTAACACCTTTAGGGATAGACAATTGAATTTCATAGAGAATAATATACCTGGTCTTGGCACCTTGCTTAATCATTATAATTTTGAGTAAAATACCAATCAATCAATGAATAGATATCTAGCATTTATGTTCAAATCCATGAAAGAAATGTTTTAGCGCTATCTCCAACTGAGATCACTAATTCTGTTTAGATGTAGGAGACCATGTGTGCTACGGTGAAGTTGGCATATCATTTGTGCCATTATCAGTCTCATCTCAGCTAACCTGGCAACCTCAACCAGAAATGAATTTTCCTGCTCAGGCTATTATAATAGGAATGATACGCTCCCAAGAGGGCACTCCAGAGCTGGTCTATGATGTCCATACAGTTAGCAATTTGGAGTTAGCATTTAGGAATCACTGTCTATGGACCAAAGCAAGACTTTCAATAGTAGAAATCCAGAACCAGAACATTTCTTCACTTGAATCATTTCTTCCTTCATGATCATTCTGCCAAATCATTTTTGCTTCAATATATTCTCAAACAGAATATATTATGGAAAGAGGCTTCTAAGTTTGGTAAAATCCTCCACTATCTTACTTACTATAAAGTATTGTTTAAGTATAACATTCTTACCAAAAAGTACACAAATCACAAATCACAAATGTACAATTCAGAGTTTCTATGAAGCAAATGTTTCCATATAACTAAGATTTTTTAAAAAAGAAAAAAGATTATCAGGAGCTCCCAAAAGTCTTAATGTCCCCAATCAGCCTTTCCCAAGGTGAGCCCTATCCTGACTTCTACCCCCCAAAATTAGTTTGCCTGCTTTTTAACTTTTTTATGTAAATGAAATATTCATTTATGTCTGGCTTTTCTCAGTGAACGTTGTGAGAGATTCATCCACATGCAGTGTCACAGAGACCAGTAGCCGCTTCTTTTGCACTGCTGTATAGGATCTCACCGTAGCAACAGCCCACTGTGACTCTACTGCTGATTTAGGTTGTTTCTGGTTTTTTGATATTATCTATTTATGCTGCTATGAACATTCTTGGATATGGAATTTGGTAAGCATCATATTTTGCATTTCTGCTGGTATACCTAGGAATGAAACTACTGGGTCATAAGGTATATTCAACTTCAGTAAGTACTACCAACTATTTTCCCAGAGAAATAATACCCACTCTACTAATTTTTGCTTGTTTTTTTAATCAAGCCTCTAGCAAACATTAAGATGAGTGACTCCTCTATGGGCAAACAATTAAAGACATAAAAAGATACTTAAATACAGCACCTATCCTCCAGGTCAACAGTTCAGGGACACAAATGTAAACAAATGCCTGTATACAACACAGATGACAAAATGCATCAAAATATCTCATCTGATCCTTATAATAACCACGAAAGTTTTGCCAAACGTTATGATCTCTACTGTTCCTGTGAGAAAAGGGATACTTGTAGGGCAGTTTCCCAAGGTCAAATTGCTTAGTAACCAGAAACAGAACATAGTGTTCAAACACCTAATCCAGGGTTCATTCTTAAACCCATCAGAAAGGGTTTATGAGCAAACTATACTATCTATATAATACATGTTATGTGCTTACATTAACTCAAGATGTATAAAAGGTGCTAAAATACCAATGTACTACATATGTAAATATTTCCCCCAGTAGCAGTAAATTCTCGGCTGTTTCTGACAGCCGAGTGACAGTAGAGTGGGTATTATTTCTCTGGGAAAATAGTTGGTATTAAGTTTGAATAGGATTCTTCTAAAAATAAAATTTAAATGCAATACCGGTTTTAGTCTGGTCTAATTGAGTAGACTTCCTAAGAAGAAAGAGCAGTAAAAGGGCACCTGTGTGCATGTTTGAATCACAGCCAAAAATGGTGTTTATGGAAAACTTCAGATGAAGCAAAGAGGCATTCAGCCAACAAAATCTACAGCTGTGAGACTTGGAACTTACAAGTGCCCAAACTCCAAAAGCAAAAGTGGAATTATGGGACAGACTTTGAAGCTTGTTTATGTGCAAATTTTTCTAGCAAGTAACTTTGTATTTCTCTATTCAGACATATATTCTATGATTAACACTTCTAAGACCAGAGAAAACAGTTAAAGGGAATCCCATCCAGGGACTGATTATTTTTTCCCCACAATTACTTGTAAACAAAACTCAACTGTGGCTAAAATGGAGTAATCTAAATTCTATCTCCAGAGATTTGCAACTTTTCTCCCATCCTAACTCCTAAGGTGTTGACACTCTCGCTCGTTGACATGGGTCCCGAAAACACAACAGTTCCTGACTGGAAGGGAGAGACTACAGCATATCAGAGTATCTTTGAAAAAGTACCTTTTGTGTTTGAATATGCCCCATATCCCTATAATCCTCATGCTCATTTGTCTGGGTACATACTCAAGACTGCCTGAAGTCTCTGGGGAAGACGATAAGTAGGTAGGCTTGAATGCAGAAGTGGAGACTAAGCAGCTTCTAAAGAAATCTAAGGACACTACATAAGAACAAACACTGGAGATGAGGGCTAAAACTTTAAAGTTGAGAGATTATCTGTGTACATAGGCAAGACACTACAAAAAAAGCTAACGGTTTTGTTGTTTTCAAATAAAATGTAGCAAAATTATGGACTGTATACCGAATTATTTCAGCCAGGAAAAAAAAATCTAACACCTTTAGGGATAGACAATTGAATTTCATAGAGAATAATATACCTGGTCTTGGCACCTTGCTTAATCATTATAATTTTGAGTAAAATACCAATCAATCAATGAATAGATATCTAGCATTTATGTTCAAATCCATGAAAGAAATGTTTTAGCGCTATCTCCAACTGAGATCACTAATTCTGTTTAGATGTAGGAGACCATGTGTGCTACGGTGAAGTTGGCATATCATTTGTGCCATTATCAGTCTCATCTCAGCTAACCTGGCAACCTCAACCAGAAATGAATTTTCCTGCTCAGGCTATTATAATAGGAATGATACGCTCCCAAGAGGGCACTCCAGAGCTGGTCTATGATGTCCATACAGTTAGCAATTTGGAGTTAGCATTTAGGAATCACTGTCTATGGACCAAAGCAAGACTTTCAATAGTAGAAATCCAGAACCAGAACATTTCTTCACTTGAATCATTTCTTCCTTCATGATCATTCTGCCAAATCATTTTTGCTTCAATATATTCTCAAACAGAATATATTATGGAAAGAGGCTTCTAAGTTTGGTAAAATCCTCCACTATCTTACTTACTATATTGTCTATTCAAGACACATGGCAGATACACTCCAGTACTTAAGCTTTCTAAAAGGCAGTATTACACTGTATTTACTCTGGTTGCTCCCCACCCCCACCCCGAATCAGCTAACTGGCAACTGAAATAAAGTTAATTCCTACCAGTACGTGCAGAGAACAAGTATCACCTCACAAGCCCCTCATTTATGATTTTATCTTCTCGAGTTCTGAAGGCTAAAGTTTCCAATGCTGTGTCTGAACTTGTATTGAAATGTTTGTCATTAATAAAACAAAGAAGGAATTAATGTATTTTTTTTCGTTGTGGGGAGAGGGAAAGGAATCTACATAGGCGGATTTTACTTTCTAAGTAGTATTATATTGGTCTACATTAATAATTTTCCCAGCAGGCCTTCCATGATTTTACAATCATAGCCTTTGTTTCTCAGATCCTCTTACATGTGACATTTGATCAAAGTTTTTAAATCAGCAGTTAACGGAGGTGGTGGAAAAAAGTACTGCTCACACAAAGCCATCCCACAGCTCACTTCAAAGTCGCTAGAAGCTGGATGACAGACATTTTCCAGCTAAACAGTATTTAGATGTTAAGTTAAATTTTCTGAACCCTGAACACATTTCACTGCACATTATCACACTCCTCAGGTAAACATTTCCCAAACATCACTAAAGCATGCCTTAAGAAAATTCTTCAACTCTTCCACACACGTGTTTTTTAAAGTAACCACAAGGCACCAAACAATTGCATTTATTCTTATTCAAGATCTCTGAATATAGTCTTAAAACAAAAAAGTCTGCCTCCATTCCACCTCTCAAAAAAGATTTCAGGTAACTAAATTACCTATATTACCATTCTAGAAGCAATGGCAGTGAGATGGGATATGAAAAGAAAACTAGTAAAGTCAATTAATTCAAGTCTAAAAGTCCTTATTCAGGCAAACTGTCCCCAAAGAAATGGAGGGGAAAAGAACAATAAAGGAAACACTTCACACTTCAACATGCTATGTAAGGAAAGACTGCTGAAAGGAAATCTTGCAGGGAATTTTATCCCTTTGAACTTTCAAATAAACTCGTAAGTAAGATTATGCAAACTTACTAAAGACCGGTCCTGATTAGAGGGAAAAAAATGCACCCCTTCTCCAAGTCAGTTCTGGAGGCTTTCTCCAGAGTTGTTAGGTTTGTGTTGGGTAAAGACAGACGTTCTAACAAACCAACATTCTTTTCCACATGATCAGAGCTAATTGGCCCCCCTGCAGACTAAGTGACCAATCACATCAGCTTCATCTGAAACCAGCCCCCACAGTATTATAAACAGAGGAATGTGAACTGTAAACCCAGTCCAAGAAGAGAACCTACAAACTAGACGTGTAGATTAAAATTACCTCATCAAAAAGACAGACCTGCAAATTTCCTCAAGACCTACCTGTGCATACAGGCTGACCCATCAAAAGAACTGGTGAGTACATGAAATAATATTCATTCTTATTTCTTTCCTTAAGAGGAACAAAGAAACTGATTGACAAATAGGGACAGAGCTAAATATTGCCAATACATTTTAAAAGACATTACCTACAGGGTAATACTTTAAGGCTCTTTTTCTTCTTCTTTAAATTATAGAAATGAAGTAATAGCCCTATTTGAAAGCATTACTGGGAATTTTCTTAACTTTTATTAAATGTATGCTAATTATCCATTATAATACAGAAATGAGTAGAAGAGAAAGGCGCTAGAAAAAAAACAGTGGCTTTTTAAAAAGATGTTATCTCTTTAGGAAAGGATTAAAGAAACCCAAAATGGGCAAACAGAAAACAATGACCCTAAAGAAATCTGTGTTCATTTTTTTAACCCATGAAAAAAGTCATGAATATCCTAATTTTAAATTTCTTTATAAGCATGGAATTATTCCTGAAATTAACAAATGCTTCTGCAAATAAGAAATTAAAATTTTATAAAAGACTCTCTGAGCTTATATAATAGAGTTAGAACTCACACTGTTTGCCCGAATTATAGAGAGCAGGAAAGATGACTGATTACAAGACTCCATACAATCTTAAAGTGTTTACACCAGACATGAACAAATATATAGTAATACTGTAATCACTTAACTTTGTAGTTATAGCCTATTATCTTAACTGTTTAATATGAACTACACTACATATTATAATATGGCAACAGAAAAGATCATTTTAAGGCTACAACCTAACGAGTAGAATGAATCTATAATTTTGACAACCAGTGAAGCAGCCAAACTATCATTTTTATAAAGTACTATTTTTTCCACCCCACACACAGAAATACAAACAAACTTTCCCGAGCTTTGATTCTACTTTCTATTGTGATCAGTTGATGAGAATCATATAAATACAAAACAAGACAAATACATTCAAAACTCACTTGTATGTCTGAGGGAACATGAAAATTACTTGGAAATGTAATAATATAAACACAGTATCTGTCCATCAGACACTTTTAAATTTGATGGAAAGAAAATCTACATATTAGGCAACAGTAATGTAATTCTTAAATAACCACACAAGCAGATGTAAAATCACAAAGAAAAAAATCATGTAAGAAACCTTTATCAGTTAAGGAAAATGGAAATAAGTTTACAAACTTTTAGAGTTTTAAGGGATCATGTTATTTAATTTCCTCTTTCTTCCTTTCTTTCTGTAACCAACAGAGACCAGAGCCCGGTTGGTTAGATTCCCTTGTCTTCATTATACTAAACCACACTGACTACATGAGAGAAAGGATGGACTAATTCAGGGTAATCTTTTAAGTGGGACCAAATTCTTACATCTCTCAACTACTCCACTTCCTAACACAATATAAACAAGATCTATCCAAGTTTTATATACAAAAAAAATTGCTTCACTGTTCTGATATCAGCCTTTTGATTTCCCCATTCATCAACTCAGAGGTATAAAGAAAATTGTAAAAGCCCAGTGTAAGAGTGCTTAGCTCCAGGTAACAAATAACAATCTCGAAAAAGCCCAAATCATAATTGTCAGCTACAGTATATACAGAAAGGCTATCTCCCCATCTAATAAATTCTAGAACATAATAAACTATGTTGAAAATGAGGAAGAATCATGGTGCTTTTTTACCAAAAAATATTGTGAAACAATAAGCAATTAGCAGCTTTCACCAGTACAGTGGTTCCGTAAGTGGAACAGTCACCAGTACAGATCTGTGATAGGTATTTTCACACAGGCAGGAAGCAAGAAACAAGGTGAAACTAGTATGTTACACACCAATTTTACCTCAATAAAAAAGAAACAGACAGTAAAGGACAATGCAATGACTCACAATCTTTGTCAAGGCAGCCAATTATCTGCTCACATTATATACTTTTTCCTCTTCAAGTGTCAAAATGTTTTTTTTTAAGTAAAATTATGATGGTATATTTTTTAAATTATTTTCTCACCTGGGAAATATGAATTTGGCAATGTTATATAAGAACTCTCCTCTCCACATTTTAATTCTACTGGTCTGAAGAATCCTAAAGACTAGACTATGCAATAATTCTGATTATACTAATCTTCAAATCTTGCAAGATGTCTTCCTTAACTAAAAATATATTTCTTGCCTACATATCATAGATCTGAACCAAAGCATTCCTGAAGAACAGATATTCTGTGATGCCTCTTGAACAAAAACTAGTCAAATGGAACATAGCGTTCATCATGAAGGCTGACCAGAGTCAAAATTCTATTTTTGAGGCAATTATAGCATTGACTCTGGACTCAGTATAGGATTCACCAACACTTACTACCTTTGTGAGCTTAAGAAAATGACTGTGCCTCAGTTTCATTATCTGTAAAATGGGAATAATAGTGATACTTATTATTGTGAAAGTTAGGAAATATTATCAATCATAATAAAGCAACTAATACTGAGCAGTTACTCTGTGCCAGACATTGCCTGTGGGCTTCACATGAGTTAATACATGTTAAAGTGTTTGGTATAATTCCTACCACATAATAAACAATATATATTAACTAATATTAATCATTACTGTGATTACAAACTCTAAAAGTCTGTAAACTTACTTCCATTTTCCTTAACTGATAAAGGTTTCTTACATGATTTTTTTCTGTGTGATTTTACATCTGCTTACATACATTACAATATGATAGACCATCATAATTTTACTTAAAAAAAACATTTTGACACTCGAAGAGGAAAATTGTGTAAAATTAACAATGGTTTAAGATAGACACTTGAGATGGTTTTAGGGACAAGAAGATCATCTACTAAAGGTACTAAACATCTGGCTGTCAAAGAATATCTTGTGAATGCAATACCAATCATCTTGGGAAAGATTTTTATTTCACCAAACTCCCTAAACAGACAGCTTCTTGTAATAAAAAAAAAAATTAAACTGTACAGCCAAATTTGAACAACACTCCAAATAATCCAAGGTTCCCTTTTGCCTTGTGTCAACTTCTTTTATGTCTGATCCTCAGTGACCTCATCTGAAAAATGGGATGATAACGTCTATGTTGCTAAGATTCCAAAGAATGAGAGAGAGAGAGACAGAGAGAGAGAGAGAGAGAGAGAGAATGCCATATAAAAAGCACCTGTGCAGCGCCCAGGAAGACTTTGTTGTTGTTATTCTTATTTCCAAAAGGGCACAGATCAGGTCTCCTAAAACATTTAAAGTATCTAGCAAAATGAGTCATTAAATAGCTGTGCCAAGAAAAAAAAAATTGACTAAATAAAATAATAATGACATCTTGTTAGAATAATAAATTATAAAATGTTAATTCCCTAAGATTTTTTTAAGTTTATGTGTGAAACCAAAATGGCCATCTAATCTAAATTTTAACGGTCATCCAGTGTTCCATCAGTAATTCAATTCTGAAGAAGATACAACAGAGTATCTGTAATACCACCAAAACAAATGTTAAATTAGTCTCAGGACAAAAGGGAATGCATATACCCAGCTGGCCGATGTCCAACTCCAACAGCACAGGAAGGCTGTCTCCCTAGCCCCCAAGTCCCTGGGCATAGGAAGGTTCCAGCAAACCCAAGCAACAACCTAGCTTCAAATGCCTCTAGTTCCTTCTCAAGCATTCCTGTCATTCAAAAGGTAGAAAGGGATGTGCAGTACTCCCAAAGGTATCTGCTTCTGAAGGAAGAAGCAAGGGAAGAGTCAAATATAAACTAGTACTGGATAGTGGCACAGAAGAAAGGAGCACACAAAGGGATACAAGCTGCATTTATTTCCCCTTCTGTTACTGGCAGGCTCTACAATAGGTGTTAAGACACTTCTGTCATAGTCAAGTGTAGAAAGCACACATTATAATTTTTACTCACCATACAAAGCATAACCACTGATTTACAGTTTAACTGTTCACAGAAAAAACAATTATATCAATTACCTTTCCTAAATGATTATTTTAAATCATTAAACTTGAAGCTTTTTCTTCTAATTTACTTTCCAAACTAATATTATCTAGGAATTTCTACCTAGAATTTCTTATTTTGCCAAGAAAATAGTTTTCTCTCCACCCCAAACCTAATCAGAATCTAGAATAAAAAGGGCAGCAATCCATTAGCCAAGGAAGGTAAGATGTCATAAAGTGATAAAAATTAATGAAGTCTATCTAATCATAAAACTTTCAATAGGTTAATAATAAAGTACACATTACAACTATGGATTTCTGAAAGCTTAGTCTTATATCAGCACTAGTTTGGTTTCAAAACATTTGCAGATATTTTAACACTACACTTCCAAATGATTTCTACTTAGTTACACAGGGGAACACTATACTTAAGTTATAATTATGAATTATGCATGACCATAATTAATTATGAAAAGTTGTTACTTACACATGATGTTTAGTCAAATCAACAAATACTTGATGCCTAGACTTGTGCAAGAAAGATACAGGAGTGTCAAACAGATATGAACCATAATCCTAACCCACAAGGATTTTAAAATATACCTGGAAATGTTAAGATGCCATACAATATTTTAAGTCATTCAACGAAACAGTAAGAAATACACTAAGGCAACCCTTGTAGCTAGCAAATGAATGGCTTCGTCAACAAATGACCCCCTACGTAAGTAGAAAAGAGAGAGTTCTCAGACTGGGAAAGCCTGTCCAAGAGTCAGCGAAGCATTCCAAAGAAAGTACAAACTGAATGAGGTCTCAGAGTCTATTAATATTAACTGTAAAACAGTTAAGAGCTTACTAATTTGCTCTTGATTTCACAGAATTACAGCTGACAATGGATGGCAATAACTGCAAAGTTATTGCTCCTCTCCTAACTCAGAGATACCGGAGGATGGTCACCAAGGATGGCCACAGTACACTTCAAATGGATGGTGCTCAAAGGGGTCTTGCATATCTTCGAGATGCTTGGGGAATCCTAATGGACATGCGCTGGCGCTGGATGATGCTGGTCTTTTCTGCTTCTTTTGTTGTCCACTGGCTTGTCTTTGCAGTGCTCTGGTATGTTCTAGCTGAGATGAATGGTGATCTGGAACTAGATCATGAGGCCCCACCTGAAAACCACACTATCTGTGTCAAGTACATCACCAGTTTCACAGCTGCGTTCTCCTTCTCCCTGGAGACACAACTCACAATTGGTTATGGTACCATGTTCCCCAGTGGTGACTGTCCAAGTGCAATCGCCCTACTTGCCATACAAATGCTTCTAGGCCTCATGCTAGAGGCTTTTATCACAGGTAATTGTTTTTGTTCTTAAAATTTATGAGTGTTTTGGATGGGTATAGTTAGTTATGAGCAACTGTGTTAAAGAATAATTTATTTGCATTCTTAGCAGGTAGTGCCAAAGACTGAAAAGAGTCTAGGGCCAAAATGGTAGGAGAAATTTTAAGAAACCTGACTTTAAACCTAAATTATACCTATTGGACTTAAGAATAAATGGATCATTTTGACATACTAGCAGCAACATTTTATGCCAAAAAAATATTAACAAAGGTCTAAAAGGAGTTTTTCAGAGAAGCTAAATATTTTGTTTTATAAATAAGTGAAAAAATATGTTCAAGGTATATTTTGACAGTCATTTTACCTAACAGAGAAATTTTATTTTATTTTTTTTTTACTGGATTAGAATTTTCTACTCTTGAGTTCATCTTTTCAACATTTAGTCAATACCAGTGAGCCCAGAGCACCATAGTTAGCATTATATGTTAGAGAACAAGTATACAGACCCTTAGTAAAATGCCCTGGAAATACAGCCACAAAGATGAAATTTGCTTATAAATCTGGTAACACATAAGACTGTTTCTTCTAATAAGGTAGGGGTATGTCATTTTTATAAGTGGTATATACAGTACAAAACAAAACTTGGTTTTAATATACTACCCAGTAATAACCTGAGAAGGTAACCATTGGGCCATCTGAAGGGTGATGTGATATAAGCCCCAGTGTACAACCAACTAGCTCTATAACATGTTAACAAATCACTTAACTTCTATAATAAGAGTTCTTAAACTGGGTCAGACATTAGATAAAATTTAGGTGGAATGATGAACTTAAGATGGGAAAACCTTGCATCTTTTTCACTAATCCCTAACCAAAATTCGGCTTTTCCTTCTATTATAAATGTAGGCAACAAAAAACATAACATCAGCAATACCTGTAACTTTGATACAAATAGAAACCACAGATTACCTTCATATCACACTATAATGCTTCAAAATTACAGTATTAAATCTGCCACTGTATTTTATTTAATACATTAATAAAGCACAGATAGTACTACAGTACAAATTTTTAAATGTTCAGCAGGATTTCAACATATTTGGTTTCCTTTGTATGCATTTCATTTTTATGCACTTAAAGCATAATTCCGGTAAGAGGTCCATAGACCTCATCAGCCTGCCAACAAGATTATGGCACAAAAGTGGTTAAGAAACCCTGAAACATAGATTGGAGCCACAAGGAGAATGCACTTGGAAGGTACACTGAAATTACCTTAAAGCCAGAGCCTTTTTAAAAAAAGGTTTATATAAGTTTCAAAGTTAAAAAATTCTTCAGTGTTCCACTCATTTTACTGGTTCCCTCTCAACCCCACGCCATTGCATTCCAAATCAAATTTCTAATCAACTTGGAGTAATCTGGTTACAACTAAATTGTACCTAATTTGTTACTTTTTTTTCAGTGGGGGCAGAAATAGAGGAAATGACCATTTTTTAGACTTTATCAGCAACGAGTGGACAAAATTTTACATTTCTATGTAACAAAACAAATTTTGCTTATCAATTTTTGAAATAATAATTTTTAAGTAAGAATGTATGTACACTTGAAAATTTCTCAGGCAAATGAGACTACCCAAATTAACAATAAGTTCAGATCCTGACTCATTTGGAAGTCACAGCACCAAGAAATGTATAAGCTATTTGATATACTTTTCTTATTCAAAATAGGTATTGATATTTGAAGTGTTCATTCTAAAAAAAAAATTCAATGTTTTCTAATTTAGGTGCCTTTGTGGCGAAGATCGCCCGGCCAAAAAATCGAGCTTTCTCAATTCGCTTTACTGACTTAGCAGTAGTAGCTCACATAGATGGCAAACCTAATCTTATTTTCCAAGTGGCCAATACTCGACCTAGCCCGCTAACCAGTGTTCGGGTCTCAGCTATACTCTATCAGGAAAGAGAAAACGGCGAACTCTACCAGACCAGTGTGGACTTCCACCTTGACGGCATCAGTTCTGAGGAATGTCCATTCTTTATCTTTCCACTAACCTACTATCACTCCATTATACCATCAAGTCCTCTGGCTACTCTGCTCCAGCATGAAAATCCTCCCCACTTTGAATTAGTTGTGTTCCTTTCGGCAATGCAGGAAGGCACAGGAGAAATATGCCAAAGGAGGACATCCTACCTACCCTCCGAGATCATGTTACATCACTGTTTTGCATCTTTGTTGATCCGAGGTTCCAAAGGTGAATATCAAATCAAGATGGAGAATTTTGACAAGACTGTTCCTGAACTTCCAACTCCTCTGGTCTCTAAGAGCCCAAACAGGACTGAGATGGACATCCGTATCAATGGACAAAGCATTGACAATTTTCAGATCTCTGAAACAGGACTGACAGAATAAGATGTATCCATGGCACCCTATTTTTTAATATATTAAATACACCCAGCCAGTTATGCAGCTACTTTTCCTTCATCGTATCTCATGTTTTCTTTTTCTCAATGCTGACTATAATTCTCTGATTACATCATGGTAATCAAGCCTATGCCCATTAAAAAATGGCTGAGCTAACAATACACATTCTGGAAATATAAACATTCTACTTTGTAATTACAAAGTTTGTACCTGTGGTTATCTGCTGAAATCAATGCATCTCAACATGACAAAGATTATACAGAATTGTTGGTGAATTTATAAGGATGTGGTATACCAGTAATGAAAGTAAAATGGACACTGAAGTTTAACATAGCAGAACTCTAAGAAAATAAACCATAAATCTCATTTTCAACTGCAAGTTGAAGCAACAGTCTAGTTTCAAACCTAACTCCCGGGTAGAATGATGATTTCACAACACTTAGTGGAATCCTTTTAAAATTTATTTTTTCAAGCCAACAAGATCATTTCTTTGGGTCTTTAGACTACAAAACCGGGGTAAGTATTACTTCCTTAATTTTTAACAGCTAAGAACAAAAATTCACAAGAAAAATAGTAAACTATAGATTTATACATAACTCTAAAAGCATCTCAGCATGACACCCAAACACATGCAGATGTTTGTGGCCCAACATAGTAAGAGCAAGTAAAACAGCTCTAGCCCAAACGGAACCTGTAGGGTGGTATTTTTAGTAAGGAAACAAAAAATTGCATCTACTATGAAGCTACCCTGCATAAAAATCAATTAGTGATTTAAAAATTAATCAACTATTCATCTAAATGCCAAAAACTTTCCATTCTTACCTGTGATCCATTCAATTGCATAAAAAAACCCTCTAAATAACTCATAAATGTAAACATATTTGAATTTTTATAAAGATTTAGTTAGATATAATGAAATAGGGGGAAAAAATCCCTAATAGATAAAGCAAAAAATAATTAGGCAACGAAGTATTTTCAAATCCAAATTCCTGTTTCCAACTTCAAATAGTTTTTTCTATAAACACAAATGAGTGTTTATTCACCAGTAGGAGGTTGGACTAGAGGAACTTGTATTCCTTTCCAAATCTAATAACACTCCAAGAAAATTATGCTCTCTCTGCTTCATTTTTTATTTTATATATATTAAGATGAACCTTTTCCCTTACCTCCAAGTTGAGACTACCCTTTGCATACTCTTCATTTCAATAAAAGTATCAAACTGTCTTCAAACAAAACAAGAACCAGAAAGTCACCTATCAGATTTCAAACAGATTTGTAGCTGCTCTTCTTTTCTGAAATTCCCCTTATCAGGTTTAGTGGGAAAAGTGAAAGATTAACCCTCCCTACTGGTGATGACCCAGGCAGGAAACATATCTTGAAATAAATACTAGCTGAGTAAAGGCAAGCATTCGTGAAGAGCAGGGCACAGCAGCAAGTCACATTTTTCTACTCTTTGACCAAAAGGAAAAGAAAATAAAGAAGAACTTTGGAGTGTTCTAAGACAGAATAGCAGAACATCAAGGACATAGAAACTTTATTATTGTGGACTTTTGCTGTTTGAAAATCCTAGGCATTCTTAAGTACTAGACAGACCAACAGATTTTTTTCCAACCCAAGACTGCTGAATTCATATTTCTATAATAAAGTAACAAGATTCACCTAACATGTGAAAATAAAATAGTATCGAAGATTTACATGGTATGTTTTTTCCTAAGAGCTCTATGTCAGTTACACAGATCACAATTCCAACAGTTAAGTGAAAGTGCCCAAAGCGACACAAAGAAGGAAGAAACACCTGGATCTGCGCCCTTATGGGTGCAGCATGTTCTGCACACAAGTCATATGAGTTTCTTAGTATGCTACTTACACATAAATTTTGCATCTGAAAACTAGACGTTAACTTCCCCTATTTATATTCTAATATTTATATTCTAATGCTATTTAATAAATGTTTCACAAATAGAAAACTAAGACACTCAAAAACTTCTGTCTAGAGGGTTGGGAGCTTCTGAAACCACTGATAATGATTCTTTCACTTACTTCAATCACAGTTTCTACTATAAGGATTAAGTTTTCTGCAAAATTACATCCTTTCAGGAGATTGGAGCACAAATGGAAGAAGGGGAAATTACTGGGAGGTGGAATGGCAGCTTTAATTTGTGGCTATACAGCTAACCCAGTTCACCTGGGAGCTCAGTGATGGTATCTATGATACATTCTTAGGAAGACCATATTGAACTACCTTAAAAAACTGCGTTTGGAAACCAAACAGATCATATGACAGTCCCAACAAACTAGAGACAAGTAGTTACAAAAAAGTCGTAAGGCCTACTTTTGTATATGTTTAAGCCCATATTACCAACTGGTAACAGCAGCCTAATAACCACAAATTGCTGTTTATTTCAAGGTATTTCACACCAAAATGCACTAATTGATATCATACTAGGTAGAACCTATTGCTATCACCTGGATCATTTTTAATAATCCATTAAATTTTTTAATTTAAAATTAAATTTAATCCACCTTTAATTTCAAAATGATCCACTTTTAATTTTACCCTCACAGGATCATACAACATTATCACTGAAACTGATCCCCACTGTGCAGCAATCAATTACTCCAGAATAGTAATTATAGTAAATAGGAATTATAATTCCAAGACCAAAGGCTGGTCTCCATATTCTCCCATGGGTATTAATCAGCAGGGCTACGTTGGATTCTCACCCAGATGTTGGTAATTACATCCATTCCTCCCTATAAGAAGCAAATACATGACATAGACCATCTCTAATTTTAAAAAAAGACATACTATTCTGGAACCCTCAGCACCAAATTATCTTAATTTGATATCATAGCTATCTCACAGTTGATCAATGTATCAGTGTATCCCTACAATTTTAGTACTTCAGTTCTTAGCAAAAAATACAATATGAGCAATTTTTTTAAATCTGCAATGTTTTCAACAGAAGTTGTTAAGAGTAGGCAGTTAGTTAGACATAAGCAAGAGAAAAGGGTCAGCACATCACCAAGGAAGACTCCTCCCTGGCCAACCCCTAAGCCCTCCTTAGTTCCCAGTTCCACAGTCAAAGATGCCTGGCTAATCAGGAGGCCCAAACAGTCAAGGACACCTAGATTGTCAAGGGGCCCAAGACCATAGGGGCTTCCCTGATTATAGGACATGCACAAGGCCCAAAGTCCTTGTCCAAAAGTAATCCCACCTCATTAATATAGCATGTAAATCTAATTAGCATTGTGGTTTGGGCCCCCCTATGGGCTTTGCTTAGGTACTTACGGGTAAGGTGTCTGCCCACTGAGGAGACAAGTTATGTAATCTAGAGCTGTTAATCAACCTGTCAAATGACATAAGACACAGGGCAGGACTTGCTGCCACCTTAAGAAAAAATAAAAGCCAACCTAACCCTAATAGCAATGCTGCTTCTGTTTCCAGTAAGCCTGCTCTCCACCCTTCAGAGTATACTTACACTTTGCTTAATAAACTCCTGCTATTTGAAACTGTCCTAAGTCTGTCTCTTGATCGAATTCTTCCCTTCAAGAAGACAAGAATTGGGGAAACAACATGTCCTGCCTGTAACAAGCGGATTGCTTCAAAAAGAGACAAAAGCTCAGAATCATTGTTACAGTTAATGTAATAACCTGAAGTGAGCATCTTATCAAAAGGCATTCAATTAAAGCCACTATATTTGAATATGTATGTGGAAATTTCCCCAATATTTTAGAAGGACAAACTTTCTTAATATTCTTAACCACTTCACATCAATTTAGTTCATCTTTTCAAAGATATATCTATAGGATGCAAAGAAAAGAGCCCATAATCTTAATAGAGGACAGCTGGGGAAATTGTTCTCATTGAATTAATACAGTTAAAGTTTTACACTCATCTATTCCAAACCACTGGAAGTGTGATTATGAGTCTAACAATTAAAATCAAGCTAATTTCATGACAGGGAACTCACTACATTCCCAAGGCAACCCAAGTCATTTTCAGACAACTCTATTAGATCTTTCTAAGATTGTATCAAATATCTGCTTCCATAAACCTGTCCTTCAGACTCATACAAATCATGTCTAATCCCTTTTTATAGAGTGAGCCTATAAACCTCCTCTCCACAGTTTTGTCCCCTATGTGTATAAACAGCACTATTTCCCTCATGCATCGCCCATTACAGGGCTTCAAATGGCCCCTCAATCACCCTACGCCAATGTATGGATCTTTTCAAGGTGTGGCCCCAGTACTAAGCATAATACTTGAGCTGACCTGTGACAACATAAAAGACAGTAGATCCCTCTATCACTTGACTCACTGAGGACCCTTTAGTTCTAATAACAGCTGTCTGCAGACACCAGGGCACTGTTGACTAACACTAAGCACAGAGTCGGCTGAGAGGACTATGCCTCTCCCAGCAGGCTGCTGTTACACAATTACTCCATACATTTTAGAGTTTATTTATGCCACACTGCATTTTCTGCTGTTAAACTTCATTTAATTAGATCTGGTCTCTCGTACTGCACCTTAATTCTGATCCCAAGTCCCTAATGTTCCATTTTATAGTTATACCTCTAGACATGAATGGAAAATCCAATCACACACCAGTGCTGTCATCCAAAGAGAAGGAATATTTATTTAGCACCTAGTACAAGGTCTGGTGTATGAGTAGGTATTCAATAATGTTAACTGAATAAATGAGTCCATCTACTCTTATTTAATCTGAAAACTTCTATAAGGTATTAAGCACCTCCATTTATTATGAGACTACTGAATGTCTCAAAGTGTAGACTACCACTGATTTCTGATTCCGGTAGATTACTTTAAACTGCCCCTCCTTATCTCTCGAAATTCACCAGGAAAAGTATTCAATCAGACTAGGATGGAAACAGAGATCGTGATAAATCCCCCAAGATAATACTTTTTCAACAGCATACAAGTAAAGCCATTCAACTAGCAGTAAGTTATCTACCCAGTCTGTTCTAAACTTCTTCATGTCACACTCATTTAATGGCTTTTCATCAAACAGAACTGATTATTCCCAATGTCAAATTAATGAATGAGAAATTTAAATGTGTTATAAAATGAGTTTTATATGAAAACACTAATCCAAAGTTGACTGTTTTAACTACTTGTTTTTAAAAAAGAATCTGTAAATAAGTTTGTGAATACTTATATATTTAATGTATGTTTTAAGAAATGTATACCACTGTCAAATACAATCACGCTCTGGAGAACTTTTCTGGTACTTCAAGAAATTTGGAACTTATATGGTTATTTTTGTAATTAGAATATTACAATGAGCTGGCATTTTTTCTCTCTCAGCTATTAATATGTACCAGCCAGCAGTTTGAAAACTAGTCTTTAATCAGTAAGGAAGCCCCATCTTAACAGATTCTTTAATATAAACTGTGGTTAATTTCACCATAAACATTGAAATCCTGTTTTCTTATTGTGTTCCTCATAATTCAGTGGCTACTGTAACTATGTAATTTATTTTAATAGCTCTTATCTCAAAATAAGAAAAAAATTAAGATTATACATCAGAAAGACCAAATGAGTGACTAATAAACATTCAGTTTTAGCTTTTGCTCTAAGATACAGTAATAAATATTCTAGCATTTTCCCTTTCTCACTTGTGAGATGATATCTACATTGGAAAAGGAGTTAACAGATTGGTTCCTAAACTGAATTTCAGTTCACAAGGCAACTTTAACAAAGAATATATGCCTTGCAAAGAACACAAAGACCTAAAAAGTTAAATCAGGTAAGTCCTAATGGTTGTATTCATTATCCCTGGTTTCAAACAATAGAGCCCTCAAATAAACATTGAATTTTAAATGGAAGCAATATTACAACCCCATCTACTGGAGAGATGCAAGTAATCAAGTCAAATTTTAATGGAAGCATCCTTCTTGTGAGCCTTGTTAAAAACTAATAGCATGGAATTCCAGATAAAAATATTTCAGAACAGTAAGAAAGCCTTACCTACATCTTTTCGTCCTGGTTTTTCAAAACGTCTGTCACCCCTAGAAAAAATAAAATAAGTTTCAAACAAGACTTGAGAGTAATATGTAGATGTCTCATTCATGACACCCACTCTCCTATCCTTTAACATTTCTTTTTTTTTCTAAATTATAGAATATATGATTACTAACATTTGGAAACAGAAAAGCAAAATGATGCAGAAAACAAAAATATCCACCATCTTGCCTACCAAAGCTAGCTTCTGTTGACCCAGCAATGTTTTCTTTAAATTACATACATTTTTTAATTAGATACACGCTGCAATTTAGATAAAAGATGTATACAGTTTTATATACTGCTCTTAGAATGTTTTCTCACTTCATTAAATATTTTCAAAATCTAATGATATGTAGTATTCTATTGTGTAGATATACCATTACACAAGAAACCACACAATATTAAACTGTTTGGCTTGTTTCCAATTATTTTACATTATAAACATCATCACAAGGACATATCTGCACACACACCTTTGTGCAACTTCCCTCACTCATCTTGACAGACTTCATATAAAGTCACAAAAAATATAGAGAAGATGATTTAATAGCAACAAACAATAAAAAGTCAATGCTTCCCATTGAATGCTAGTCAAATAGCAAATCTAATAATTAAATATCCATGCTTGCACTAACAAATTAAACTACTTATCTAGAATGCTTCTTCCTTTAAATAAGGATCCTTTAAAATTTTCTAACATACAACTTGATATTCAATAATTAACAGCATTTTTTTTTTTAAGGAAACCTTATAACTGTACAAAGTGGCTTTTCCTTTGCAGAAAGCAGGAAAAAAACACATTTTTTTATACCAAGAAACCTTTATACCAAGATCTGGATCCTTTAGTTACCTTTCCTCCCAACTCTGCGACC